TCATAACCTAGATCAGGTTTATTAACTATAGGAGTTTTATCTTGACAGAATCCTTCAGATGTGTAGGAAGTTTTCTATAATCTCCGTGTCCAGATTTTGCATTTCTGATGTTGAGATTTCACAGTAATAAATACCAATCTGCATGGCCTGAGGTAAATTTGGGTCTAACATGAGTAACGGCCAACTTGTCATGAGGCATGATTGTGAACTGTGGAGCTGACAAGACACAAGGCAACATAGATTTGGGTTACACTCAGCTCCCAAGGAGAATACGGGGAGTGACACTGGTGATTCCTTCTTTGTCAGTCCTGCACCATGAGCAGGGTGCTAGGGGGGCACCGAGCCGCCGGGGGCACGGTGTTTCAGATGAGATATAAAACCAAGGTCCTGGCCACTTGTGGTCATTGAAGATCCATTGGTACTTTTCACATGAGGATGGTTGCTAAGCCCAAGGTCCTGGACAAGTTCCAATCCAAGTATCCCATTCTGCCTCCCAAAATACCCTGTGCAGCTCTAATGGTATGCTTCATTTCCCCACCTATAGTGGTTGCTGTCAGAAGGGCTGGGTAGCTGGCAGAGATTCAGCCCTTCCCAGGCAGACTCAGGAAACTAGTGAGAATCAGTAGGGGCAGTGGGGAAGCAACAGGCTGTGAAAGTTGGTTATTGCAGAGTTGCCACCATCTGTAAAGCTTGGCTGATGCCCAGGGAACAAGGAAGGCTGGGGATCGTTCCTATGAAGTCTTCCCTTCCTGTAATGCACCCTCACTCCCTAGCACAGTGATCAGAACACTGAATAGGCTACAGCACGTAGAGCAGGCAGCTGCCTGCTACTTTTCTTTGTTCCCTTCTAACCTGCATTCAGCAGAGCCACTTTGCTGCATGAAAAACATGCAGCCTTGCACTGGCCTCTGAGCGCGGACTGGAGCTCTCGTCTTTAGAGCCCTTTGCTAGATCCTGCCCCAACTCACCAAAGGTGTGCTCAGGGGACAAGGGTAGCAGAGCTGTAGTAGCCTGGCTTTAGCTCTAGTAGATATCCTGCTAGGATGGCAGAGGGGTCCTGAGGCAAGGCACGCTGCAGTGAGCACTGCTCCATCAAACAACCAGCCCCAGTGCCTGCTACTCATTGTGGTATGGACGTAGGGAATCTGGAGGCCCTGCCTCCTTGCTCCGGTTTGTGGAAGACCAGCAAGCCTATTAGCTGGGTCCCCAGTCTAGCAGTCAGTGCTTGGGAGTGTTCAACGTATCAGTCTCTACTCCCATACAGTTGTGCAAGGCGCTGTGAGGGGGGGGAGGGTTGCCATATCCTTTTGCCTCCCAGCACATCCATGCAACACAGGGCAACATTTCCCCTTAAGCCAGGGAATGCAGGCAACCAAGAGGATGAGACAAACTAGGCCAGCCAGTTAATTTCCTTGTTGGTACACAGTTGTATCTTGCTTCCACACCAAAGGAATTCTCTCCCCACAACCATCACTGTAATGAACTGATGTTTGTATGTACCACTGCCTTCAGCTGGATTGAATCTGAAATACTCAGCTGGGTGGGCCCATTACTGCAACAACTGAAGAATAGTCTCTTTTAGCTCAAGTGGCAAGAGCCTCTGGTTCTGGAAGTGTTTTGGTTCTGAGGTCTTTCCCCACTTCCTCTGCAGGGTCCTGAGTGGCCCCACCGTGTTTGATGACTGGGTACTATATTCTCATCAAGCTGCTATGAATTCACCTGGCTTAAGTTGTAGATTTGCAGGGATTCATGCAGACAGGAAGATGCCCTCTCTTTTCACCACCATCACCCAGGTAAGGACAAGCCTGCAGAACCTAATGTGTCAACTGACATAACCCATAGCATTTAGAAACCTAGGAACCCTACGAGACTCCAAACAGGCATTTCTCTAGGATCTAACGTTAGTTGCAGTGATACAAACATGAGCCTCATAGCGTAATATTAAGCCTGTAGTGATATTAATAGCTTTGCTAATTAATTGTGGAGCAATGAACGGGCTCTTGATGACAGGAAGCACCCCCCCAGGCATCCTACATGGGACCACTCTCCGCCCTCCCACAACAACTCCTGTTAGTGGAAATAGCCCTGCTCAATCCTTCAAATCACAGCACTAGGTATGAAGTTACGCACAGGAATTCAGTAAGCATGTGCACATTTCTCTGTATGGGTGTGTGCGTAGGGACAAGTGAGGGAAGAGGCAGAAGGGCCATGTGGTCAGCAACTCCCATGAAAGATTGCGTTGAGCCCAAAGAAAAGGGAACAACCAACAGACTGAACTGAAATCTTAAATGTGGAACAATACATAGCCTCTTGGTATGTCACTTTACCCACCACCAAAATGCAGCCACCTCTGGGGTGGAATGTCTCAGCTGTCTCATAGTGTACAGTGACACTATGCTACAGTTTAGGAGCAGATGTGAAGCACATTGTATACAACTGGAACAGGTGGGGAAATTCTGTGGGGTTAGCTTATAAGTGCTCTGCTTGGAATTTGGTCAAGACTCAGGTGTTAATGCCCTCAGACTAATGAAAAGAGTCATCAAGATCTTCTATGAGCATGAGTGGCCAGGACCTCAACTTTATGTCTCTTCTGAAAAGCAGCAACCTCTTATTTTTAATTTAAGTGAAGGATTGTTCCACTCCTGGGCCCCCCTCCGCCATTGTAATGGTCCTCCTGTGTTCAGAAAAATTCTGCAGCCTGTTTGTGTTCATATTTTCTATCACATACTTAAAAATGTTTCTGTGACAAAGGGAGGAAGTCTCTCCTGCCCCCACAGCTGGAAAGTCCCCTCTAATCTCATTGTCCTTTTCCCCTGCTGTGTATCCTGCCAATTAAACTGGGTCTTATTTAGCTGTAAATAATCTGGCTAGACCCTTGGTCTGGTCTCCTTCCGGCTTAGCTCTTGTTCTGTCCAAGTCCACAGGCTTACTTCTTCATTTGTTCCCCAGCACCAGCTTGGACCTCATTCTCTGGTCCTACTCCTTCCCCCAAATAGCTTGGCCCACGGTCTGGCTTCCACCTCCCTCTGCCTGGCCCTTGCCTCCCACCAGCTAACGTGACTGAGTTACAGTATTCATATACTGCCTGCAAATAGGCCCACCACAAAAGAGTTGGGGCTGTGAGTGTGTGGAGGGGTGAATGCACGCACCCCACCCCAGTAGTTCAAGTTCAGGGCTTGAGTGTGTCAGAAGGGACCAAAAGTAGGTGTCTTATTCATTAAAACTGGCAAGTCCACCGCCCCACTCCACACAGACACCCTTTCTGTGCTTTCCTGCAGCCCCTATCAGGTGACAGTGAGGGGACGTTCATCCACTCTTGCATACACTGCAGGATTGTTCCTGATTGCTGTACCCTCTGAAGCTCTGGGTAGTGAGCTGTAGTCGAGCCGGGGCAGTGTGTGAAATAAGTGGATAAATAACTGATTGCCATCTCTGTCCCAGCCATATTGCATTTGCATAGTGAACTGGTGTATCATATAGGATTCACTGAGGGTCAGAGCTGGTGGTCGGGTCCCATTATTGGGGTGACAAGTGGGTATTTTGGCAACCCTATTTAAAAAACAGGCAACCTTCCAGGATTCCAGGGGTTAGTTAGACCCTTGGGAAAGCTTGGATTTTAAGAATTTAAAAAAAGTAAAATGTGGCTACTGTGTCAGTATTTTGCTAACATAGTTTATATAAAGGATGAGGACTGTAGATATGGTACATATTTTGATCTTTCTGACAATAATTTGGGGCCTCTTGAAGATTGTTTGGGGGTGCAGTTGTCCCCTTTGCCCCCCAGAAGCCCCAGACCTGTGCAGGATTTAGTATAAGCTCCTGGGGGCAGGGACCTTGTCTTCTAAAGCACTGTACGCCCTTCCAGCACATTAGCCAGACAGCCTTCTAGATCTCTCTTTATATTACCCTATATTCGCTGAGGTTCAGTGCAGGGTCATCTAAAGAACTTCTCTGCTTAGTCTACCCTCACCCTGGACTTATGATGTTGGTGGCAGTGGCTCCAGCCTCTTTACCGCCTTACATCCCGGCCATGGTGAGTGGAGGCAGGGCCGGTCCTAGGGGTGGGCAAGTAGGGCGGTCATCCTGGGTGCTGACTTTAAGGTGGCACCATCCTGCTGTTCCGTTGGGCGTTTTTCTGAGGGATACATTTCAGCTGGTCTAGATATTTATCTACCCTGACCCTCCGAGCCCTTTGCCCAGAAAATGCAATGTATCCCTTGACTGGGTTTGGGATACTGGAGCCCACTTTCCTCATCAAACACATCAGTTGTGCTGTACGCTGCTCACTTCCATACTGACAGCTGGAGGACAACAGCCAGTTCACATGCAGCTGGCTGAGTGAAAGCCATGACTGTATGAGGGGTGCTCAGTGCACCATCTGGAATCACTTGTAGGGAGGGGAGAAGGGTTGTTTCCCAGTGGATGTGTGTTCGCATCACTAAAGGACCCCCTCGTTGGCAGCTTCAGCAAAAAGACCAAGAGCTGATGGACCATGGAGACTGAACTTCCTGTTGACCCCCCAGAGGTGAGCTGAGGGGGAATTTGGGGAAGTTTGGACTGATGGTACCTGTTCTGTGAAGAAACAGGTCTTCAGACTCCAGGGTGGTCAATCCTGCACCTTTCACCAGCGTTAATTTTCCTAAAAGGAAAGAACACAGGAAGCACCAACACAAGCCAGACAGATTGCAACCTCAATCCAGTGTACTAATAATACTTACCACTGTACATTACTGTAATGTTACTTACAACATTAACTAATAAATCCTCACAACACCACTGCGAGGTAGGGAAGTGCTATTGTCCCCATTGTACAGATGGGGAAACCGAGGCACAGAGAGGAAAAGTGACTTGCCCAAGGCCACACAGCAACGCATTAGCAGAGCTAAGATAAGAATTTGGGGGATCCTGGGTCCCAGCCCCATGCTTATTTCTCTAGACCATGCTGCCTCTCTGGAGGTTAGGAACCCAGGAATCCCTTCTAAAAGTAATGTGTGGAATTGTTGACCATTCACAATTTTTATTGGCAGATAATTATTCCACAGTTTAATCCCCATACTGTGCAGTGCACCTCAGACCCTTCAGAGTTCCACAGCACTCCCAGAACCCACTCCCCGCAGCACTGGGACTGCTGTTTAGGAGTATCACAGGGTGCTCTGTGCTTTTATTAAAAAGATGTTTAGACTGGGTTTAATTGGCATTGGTTCTGGAGTACATGAACTCCTACAGGGCCTTAAAATACAGAGCCAGAGAGGAAGGCACAAGGGAACTGGTGAAAGGGGAATCTGCTTCCCCTCCTGAAGTGGCCAACAGCTCTCTTAGTTTTCTGGCTCTGTAGAATTCCAGTGATAGCTACCAGTAGGAAATGCTTGTCTCCAGTTTGTTGGTTGGTAAATCATAGCCTCAGAGATGTTTTCTTCAGTGCAGAATTGCAGCGAGCACTCAGCCCACGGCTAAAGATGTGCCTCTCATCACGTCCTCCAACCTTCTGCCACTGTCCCGGAATCAGACAGGCTGCAGCCACTGTGCTCTCCCACTGAGGGGACTGGGTTATGACCACTGTGCTGCCAAGCAGCCAAACCCAGAGTCCGAGTCTCTTCTAAAACTGGGATTAAATTAAGAGCGTTCGAGGAAGGATGGAGAGATGGGGACAGAGTGAAGCAAATGGACAAATCCACCCACTGAGCAACTGGGAAGGAAATGTCCCCCTTGTCACCGAAGCAGGTTCCTTTTTACAAGGCTTCTTTCTCCTTCTGGGAACATCTACTAAGCTTCATCTCCGTCAGCTGGATATACCGTATGACATTGGTATCTGCAGGGAAAGAGGACACATGCACTCACCGTGATTACAACTTCCAGTGAGAAACTTACGAACACCTACACACGCTCCTGTTGCTGTTCATCATGTCTCCTTTTTATAAATACTGCATCTGAAGTTACCGGGCTGTAGGAACTGCCCCTCCCAAGAAAGGCCCTCTGGTCCAGTACCCTGTCACCTCTATGGAACAGAAATCTGCTCTTTGCTCACTATCCCTGCTCTAAAATCTTTGTCCAGACCTTGGTGAGCTCTTGCCCTGACTATTGTAACCTTCTCCTCTCCCACCTACCTTCTGCCTTCTCCCCAATCCACTCTATTCAATATGTTAAGTCATCATCTCCTCTTGCTTTCTGATCAAGTTCTTTCTACTGGCTTCTTGTCTCTCAATGCATCATATTCAGGCTCCTCATCTTCATTTACACAGCTCTATATATTCTTGCCCCACCTACGTCTCTTCTCTTCTTTCAACTCCCATGTTCAGTTTATCTCCAGCTCCTGGTTGCTCACTTTCTGCCAGGCTGCCACTATGCCTAGAAAGTATCCCTCTTTTGGCTGACCAAGTTACCTCTCTCTTCTCCTTCAAACCCACTCTGGGAATCCTTCCTACCTTCTCCCCCACAATAATCCCCACACTTGCACTATTGTTCTTTCTGCTGCCGTGTCTATTTTGGACAGTAAGTTCTTAGGGGCAAGGAATGTGTCCTGATCTCCCTGTGCAGAGTACTGTGTGAGTCTACGGTGCTGTATAGGTGAGAAACTGAAAGCCTATTTCCTGGATAATTGTGCACTGCTACAGCATGTATAATGTGTGTGGTTTCTAATCTCTGACCCCAGCTGTGAGAGGATCTGCTTGCTCCGAAGCATGAGGACTGCTATCCTGTGCGATTACTTATCTCTAGATGGTTTCAATACACACAATATTCCGGTTCATATGTATCTAATCTTTCCTTGAATCCTCTTGAAGTACTTGCCTCAGTGAGGCCCAAAGCCGTGTAGCCAGCTGGCCTTTGCCTAGTCCAGTGGTCCCCAAACTTTTTACCTTGTGTCACCCCTTATCCCTGTCCACACCTCCCACCACCCAGAGCTGGGAGCAGGGGATGCGGACAGGGGTAAGTGGCCCGAGGCTGGGGCCACAGCTAGGGGCAGGGCCAGGAGCGAAGCCTTGGCCAGGAACCGAGGCCGGCAGGTGTGGGGCTGGCAGCCAGAGCAATTGGTGTGGAGCTCTGGGTGCAGGGCCAGCAGCCAGGGCCCCATGTGCAGGACCGGCAGCCAGGGCCAGCAGCACGCGCTGGGGCCAAGAGCAGAGCTGGGTGGCGCTTCCTCCTTGCCCCCCATGGGGGCCGGCCTGGGCCCCAGTCATGCCCCCCAATGTTCCTCTGCGTTGGGGAACCTCTGGCTTAGTGGAAGGAGAGGGAGGATGTTTTCACCTATACAGCAACCAAGGACAAAGTCGGCTAAGAAATAAGAATGCAAAAAGAGACAATTTTCATTGATATTGTCATTCAGAAATGGCTCCTTGCTGCCAGTCTCCCTTGTAAGGCCAACCAAGGCCAGTTTAAGTAAATTTGAGGCCCTGTGAAATCAGTAAATTAGGCAACTCTGTGCGCCAGGCCCAAGATTCTGTGTGCAACTTCCTCTCCCCTCATGACCTGCCCAGACTGCTCTACCACATCAGCTGGGGATGGAACCTGCAAAGGGAGAAAAGAGGAACAGGTAACATGTCCAACACTGGTGGGTGGGTTTGTTTTGTGCACTGAGAACATTATGGTGGCAGGTTTCCTGTAAAAACGAGGAGGGGAAGCCAGGCCTGTTGAGATAAATAAGACACATCCAGATACCCCAAGGAGTTCCTGGTGAGTATGAGGCAGCACCTGAGCACCACTGGGAGGTTCTCAAGCTCTCCCAGGGGGGATGGGTTCCCCCTTCCAAGAGTCATCTTCAGCTGCAAGTCTGTCAGCTTTGTCTGATCTGGTTTGGAGGCCAAGGATTCAGTGGTCATGGAGACTAAACTATTTCCTCCCCTTATGCAGTGGCCCTTCCAGGTCAGGTCTAAGGTACATTCAGAGGGCAGCATGAGGAAGCTGTTTGCATTATATCTGTTCTGTGGATAAAGTACTTCCATGTCCTGGGCTGCTAATTCAGAATATTTCACACTCGCTAAGTGTCCTTTAAGAAATTTAGAGCTGGTCCTGAACTAAAACCCTGGAGTCTAAAAGCCCCAGACTGGGAAATTCAGATGAAGGCCTGGATCTGAATTTTGCAGATTTGACCCACCTTTCTAAAACACAAAAGCAGTGAATGTGCAAGATATGTGACCCCAAATAGAGGGGGGAGGATAATACCAGCTCAAACACCCTCTCTATCCCCTGCACCCTCATTCAAATATCCATATCCCCTGCTGCTCCAGGAGCTGATGGGTTACAGCCTGTATGAGCTTCCCTATTGCACACATCTTGCACCTTGAATGTCTGCCCAGTGAAGGTGATAAGTGATAATTGAGTAAGCATGCTAGGAAATCACACCTGCCCTGGCTTGTAGGACCAGCTGGATGCCTGACTGAGGGGAAGAGGCAGAGTTCAGTGCATGATTGGGCAATCAGAGGCCACATCTCCCTCCAGCCTGATGGGTAAGGGAGCCAGTGACTCATGGCACAAATTCACCCACATGGAAAATTTCTCAAATGCTTTCTCCTAAGCCTCAGGAGCCAGGGGCAGAACAGGATGTAGCAAGGTATGTGGCAGGAGACATTCTTACTGCAGGTTACCTAGAAATCTCCCAGGCAAGTCATGACATCTTCTCTCAAGCTCACACTTTTGTCAGAGAAAAATATACACAGCAGTTGGTTACAAAGCAAACAGAACCCTTTCTCTCTCTGCCTTTCCTTTGTTACTAACTCAGGGGTGGCCAATCTGTGGCTCTGGAGCCACATGAGGCTCTTCAGAAGTTAATATGCAGCTCCTTGTATAGGCACTGACTCCAGGGCTGGAGCTACAGGTACCAACTTTCCAATGTGCTGGGCGGTGCTCACTGCTCAATCCCTGGCTCTGCCGCAGGCCCTGCCCCCACTCCACCCCTTCCCGCCCCCTCCCCTGAGCCTGCTATGCCCTCGCTCCTCCTGCCCCCGAGCCTCCTGCATGCCACAAAACAGCTGATCAGGAGGGAGGGGGAGACACTGATTGGCAGGGCAGCCGGTGGGCAGGAGGTGCTGGGAGCGGGGGAGGAGCTGATGCAGGGCTGCTGATGTATTACTGTGGCTCTTCGGCAATGTACATTGGTAAATTCTGGCTCCTTCTCAGGTTGGCCACCCTTGTACTAACTAATAATTCTCTGCACATTTTACCTCCTTGTTTTGGAACATTTCAATGCATTGTATAAACACGAATCAATTAAGCCTCTGTGAGGGAGTGAATGATGACTTTACAGGTGGCAAAGCCTTAGGCAGAGAGAACTCAAGTGCCTTGGCCAAAGTCTTACAAGTCATTAGGAGATCTGGGTGTAAAACCTAGACTTCTTGATTCTCAGGACTGTGCTCATGCTAGTATATAAAGCAACCCTCTAAGGGAAAGTCTATTGCTTTCCTTGTGGTTTTGGTTTAGTGACTAGACAGAGCCTAGTGGTTAATACTCTGTGGTATCATGACTGTGACCTGTTTTGATTCCCAGTCCTTCTCGATCACAAAGATAGAAGTACTCAGAAGGCAGACTCCTGTGACTAGAATGCTACTCTACTCTGTTGGAAAACTGGGTTTTATTCCCAGTCTTTGTATTTCCCTGCTATGAAACAAATAGAAGGGGCTGGGCCCATGTAGCCTAACGGTTGGCATTTTATGTTACCAGAAGGTCAACTCAAGTTCCTTCTTTGCTCCCAATTTCTATATGCCGTGACTAGAGAGAGCGATGGATAGGAAGAGGTGGAACAACATATATGGTAAGGCCAAGGTTCCTCTGAAAACAAAGAGGCTTGTAAGTAAAACCAATATTTGGCTGCTTCAAAGTTCAAACCACTTTGAACTCTGCTATGTGCTTTTATCAGCTTCTGATCACAGAGTTTATGAAAAGCTGCAGATAAGTTTTACATAATTAAAGTAGCCTCCCCTTTCCCTTTCCAAATCGTCTCCTCTACTGAGGGGAGTTACACAATTCTATTTTATTCTTTTCAGCTCTGTTTGTGATTGAGGTGGGAGGGTAGAGAAAAGGCCAATCCCAGCTCTGCTAACCTTTGATGGGGAATAAGTAGCCTTAAGGGATTTGCTGTACTGACAAGCCTTTAGAACAGGGACACCCTCTGTGAGTAAATTCCTGCTTGCCATTTAAAAATTCCCTCTGTCAGGCAGAGTAGTTTTCCAGTGATTGATCTCTAAATCACCCCTTATTAGAGAGAGATATTGCACAGAACAAGCTCATACTAATACTCAAAGTGCTTTACCACTACTAATGAACTGACCCTTCAGAGGTAGGGAAGAGTGCTATCTCCATTCCACAGAGGGGGAAACTCAGACAAGAGACATTAAGTGACTTATCCAAGATCATATAGTGAGACTGTGGCAAGCCAGGATTAGCACTGAAGTCATCGGACTCCATTACTGTGGTTTAACAACCCCATCCTCCTTCCTCTCTATGTACGCTCTGGATTACTTACCTTTCCCCTACTGTATCCCCCAACTTTCAATAAATAGCCATAAATAAAACAGAATAAAGGCCTGAAATGTCATAGTAATTGTAAATAATACTAGAGAGGGATCCGGGCTGCAGAGTGCAGGTCCAGAGATATCCTTCCCCTCAATTAAGGGCAGTTTGGGCCATCCCCTAAGTATCATTGTGGCCTGCTGTGGTGCTTGAGGCCATTGCTGTTGAATACTTAGGTATTTATCTTATAAAGAGATGAGAGCAACCAGACCATGTAATGTTGCAGGGAATAAACAGCAGAAAAGCATGCAGTAAAACTAGGGAGAAAACAATTCAGATAATATAAGGACTGGAAACTTTGACTGAAATTTGAAACTACTCTGAACCTAAAAAAGAACAGGATAGCTTTTTATTTGACCCCTGGCGCCCCCCCTCCCCTTTTTTTTTTTTTTTTTTTGATGAGTCCCTGCGTTTCCTGGCTCTGGCTGGAACTGAAAGCAGGAGGTGAAAACTGTACAATAGATGGGCTAAACTCTGCCTTTAAGCACATTAACTGAGCAAGGGGAACATGCACAGCTGTACTGGCCAAAGGCTTGAGGCATTCTGTCCATACATGGCAGATGGAAGCAGAATGCCTCATGAAAGATTCCAGCACTCACTACACCTATTCATTTTTACAAGTGTACACTCATGCTTGCCTTTTCCTGCAGTGACCATGTCCTCACTCCAGCTGGACACAACTCCTCTGGGGCATCAAGCATTGGCAGCTGTGTTAGCCAGCCTCCCTGCTCCCCCTTCTGCTCAGGGAGCACTAGCTGCAGCATACTACCAGGCCTCGGGGCCCAGACCAACTCCCTTTCCACACTCAAGTGGAGAAATCACTCTTGGCTTATGTTTGTGTATGGCATCTATTTCCATTTCTATTATGTTTTCCTTCGATCAGGGCCGGCTTTAGGAAGTGCGGGGCCCCGGCAGGGATGACTAAAAAAAAAAACCATTAAAAAAAGCCTTTCATTTCTTAGCAACCGGTTCCCTATAAAAAGTTCTGATTTAAGGGATGTGCCACCGTATGTATTTTTTGTACCAATGGGGTTACCATACATCCACATTTTCCCGGACGGAGATTTAAGAACCAAAAAGCCTGACATGTCTGGGAAAATACGGATGTATGTTATCCCTACCTAAAGTTCTTTTTTAAAAAGATGGGCCTGAACTAGAAATGAGCTCCGTTTCACATGTGTGGGTCCCTGCCACTCCCTGGGGGTGTGCTAGCGTGATCAGATGTCCCGATTTTTGGGTCTTTTTCTTATATAGGATCCTATTACCTCCCACCCCCTCCCGATTTTTCACACTTGCTGTCTGGTCACCCTAGGGTGTGCACATGTGTGGGTCCCAGCTGCTCCCTGCCCCCCTCATTGAAGCAGGTGTGCAGGGTTACTGCCCTGGGAACTGCAGGGCACCACTGGATATGGGGCTGACTGGAGGTAGGGGCTGGCTGCAGGCAGGGCAAGGGGTGCAGGGCTGGCTGGAGCCTGGGGTATGTGGGGTGGGCTGGCTGGCTTCAGGCAGGGCCACAGAGGGGTGCGGCAGGGGTTGGCTGGAGACAGGGCAGGGGGTGCGGGGCTGGTGTGGGCAGGGGGTGTGTGGGGCTGGCTGGCTTCGGGCAGGACCGCAGAGGGGGTGCGGCAGGGGTTGGCTGGAGACAGGGCAGGGGCTGGCTGCGGGCAGGGGGTGCAGGGCAGGGGCTGGCTGCGGGCAGGGGGTGCAGGGCAGGGGCTGGCTGCGGGCAGGACGGGGGGTGCGGGGCTGGCTGCAGGCAGGGGGTGTGGGGCTGGTGCGGGCAGGGGTGCAGCAGGGGCTGGCTGTGGGCAGGGAGTACAGGGGCAGGGGGTACAGCCCACCCTATACGGTAAGTGCCCCCTCCTCCTCCTCCTCCCTCCCCCACCGGGGCAGCAGCACAGGGCTCTGGGGGCTATTTAAAGGGCCCGGGGCTCCCCTGCTTCTACGCCCCGGACCTTTAAATAGCCGCGGGAGCCCTGGGGAAGCGGCGGGGCTCCCACGGCTATTTAAAGGACCGGGGCGGCAGAGGCAGCTGGAGCCCCGGCCCTTTAAATAGTCCCCGGAGCCCCCCGCTATCCCCCAGGGCTCTGGGAGCTATTTAAAGGGCCCGGGGCTCCCATGCTTCTACCGCCCCAGCCCTTTAAATAGCCGTGAGAGCCCTGGGGAAGCGGCGGGGCTCCAGCGGCTATTTAAAGGGCCGGGGCGGTAGAAGCAATGGGAGCCCTGGACTTTTTAAATAGCCCCCAGAGCCCCGCAGCCCTACCCCAGGGCTCCAGCAGTGGGGCTCTGGTGGCAATTTAAAGGGCCTGGGGCTCCAGCCCCTGCTGGGAGCCCCAGGCCCTTTAAATTGCCCCCTGGGGAAACCGGGCCACCCTGGTACGGCGCACCGGCTCTTGGGGTTTGGGCGCGGGGCCCTCTTAGGGGAATCGGCCTAAAGCCGGCCCTGCCTTCGATCCTTATAACTTTTCCCTTATTTTTGCACAACTGTTTTTAAAAAAACAAAACAAAACACACTTTGGTGGGTTTAATCTCCATGCCTATGTAGAGACATGACAAACTCTTCAAATATCTATGTCAAAGGGCAGTCAAAGCTGGCACCAGTAAGTCATGAATAATAGAGCCAGAAAGACAAAGCTGCCCTGTGTTACTAAAGCGAACAGTCCTGGGCATGTGCTCAAGAGCCCGTTACTTTTGTTTGGAGTACATTACTACAAGGGCCAAGAAATCTTACAGGCCAGTCTAATTATGCAACCATCGTGCTGGCAGAAAATAAAAATGTTTTTGTTGTTACTGGGCAAATAGGTGGTGGGTTCCTAAACAGGGACCTAACTGATTCCATGGTAAAAGTTAAAGAGCGTGGACTGGTGATTGGGGGAGATGAGGGTGCCTGTTTAGTGGGGCACAGAGACCTGCCTCCACTGAGATGATGGAAAGTGTGGATGTTAGCAATGGCAAATGGCCTCCTAATTTTCCTGTGGAGAAGATGCAGGTGTGTCCTCCTGATGGTCATTTTCAGAGACGCAGGAATCCCTGGGACTGGGGGAGGGGAGGCAGTGGGGAGATAAGCATGTGGAGATGTCTCCTTTTTTTTTTTTTTTTTTTTTTTGGAAGAAGGAAAGGTTGGAAAACCTCCTTTACAATGGTAGCATCCCTGCAATACCACCATCTTCCAGGCTCTGCTGCAGCCTCAGCAGTGGTCAAAAGCTAATACCTTCAGGCAATGACATTGCAAAGCTGCTGTGCTACCAATAAATTCTTGAAAGGAAATATAACTAGACACAGTAGGCCATGTTCATCCCTGGTAAAATCGATGCAGCTAAACCAGAGATGGATTTGGCTCAATGAAAGGAAGAGCAAAGGCTGTGAGTGTGAAAATCTTGTGGCTACTAGTACCTGTCGGCTGTCGGGACCTTGCTTCTTTCAAATAGTCCAGTGCCTTGTTGAAGTCACCAAGGTGGTAGAATGCTACGCCCGATCGATAGAGTGCCTTGAAGTTCTCTCCTTCCTTCTTAAGCACTTTGAGGCAATACTCCTTGACTCGCTCATAATTCACCAGCTCAGCCTGGAGCAGACATGCTGCAGGACATGAGAACAGGGAGAGAGAAATGAACAGGGACTTTTAGACTCTTATTCCTTCACCTCCCCACAGTCAGTGGGACGAAGATAAAGGTTGAGCTAGGGGTATGGCTCCAAAAGGTACGCAGTCAAATAGTTTAAACATCAAATCCAGCTTCTCAAACTGAATATAAAAGGTTTTATTTTTGCAATTTCAGTGAGGATAGGTTGTTTTTGCAAGGGGAGCAGGGATTTAAACCCCTCTCCCTACAGAGTTGGAACTCCAAGTCCAATAGCTCTGTGCTAGTGGCTGAGAAACAAGAAGTGAAGGTGACTAAAACAAAAAGGAACACAGCGTCCAAGCAAAATAAAGTACAAAAATTGATCACCCCGCCTCATAAAAGTAGAAAAATAAACTAGATTAAATTTTTTTATAGTTTTAATAATCCAAGGTTATCAAACATACAAGAAAGAACTCTATTTTATAAATATGATGTTTGACAGTGACCTTTAACTGTCTCTTATCCAGTGGATTAGAAGTCAGGCAGTAAAGCTAATGGCACGGAAATCTTTGAACTGATCCCTGTGGGGGCACCTTTCAACTGAAGATCTGAAAGCCCAAACAGTGGAGCTGATCTGCAGCCTTTCCTTATGCCAAAAGTCCCACTGATTGCTTACTGAATCCATAAACAAGGATTATATGATCTGGCCCGTTTAGATAATTAAGCCTCATATTATTAAATATGAACTCCTACCAGGCATTGGAATGTTTAATACCCATCTTAACCTATGGGCAAAATGAGGCACAAAGATGATACAGGACATGGCCAGATCGGGGTGAATCAGTAGAGAGCTGGGAACAGGAACCAGGAACAGTCTCTTACTCTAGCCATCAACACCACTCCCCCTAAACTGGAGGCTTGCATTGCTGTGTGCCCTGTTGGCAGGCACCGGGCACAGACAATGAAGACTGGCTACTCAGCTGGAGGAGACTGCCCCACCTCCTGTTCAACCTGAGATGGGGCTCTAGAGTTGCCACTCCGCGCCCTAGCTGTGTTGAGCTCACTCCCTCTAGTGGAAGAAGCTTCAACGCTCTTCCTTTCCCCACTCCAACCATTTCCAGTGCTGCCAGCACAGGAGGATGAAAGGGCCTCATGGCTCTAAGCAGAAACTCCTAATCATGTGTTCCTCACAGATAGTTGCTGTCAGTAGAGAAGAACATAGTGTATTTCAAAGCACCTACTCACCGACTATTTGAGTAGTAAAATTATTGCGCAAAGGTATTTCCTGATCCAGTTTTGTCTTTTCCTATTTGTCCAATATTGATTTTCTTGCTGTGTTTCTAATGGAGCTTGAAATGAATGTGCCTTGTTTTTCTTTATTTTTTTAAAGCTTCTTATAAAAATGGTTGTGTGAATTTAGTGCTGGCTTGACAGCCTTGGAGACTGGAGTCCTCTATTTATCCACTGAACAGGTACAGCACTTGGAGTAGCTTCCCACATGCTGTCCATCCAACATGCCCTATCCTGTTCTGGAGAGACCAGCTCTTGGAGTGAGTGGAAGGGGAGTTTAGTTTCCCTGGTTCTTTCGCTCCTTGATCTCTCCAGTTATAGTAATAGAAGTGTCTGTAAAAATGACAGATTTACTCAAATATTCCATAGTCAAACTTGCTCTATTGATGACTTTTTTTAAACTGGCAGTTCCACAAACTCAGCCCGTGTTTTGAAAACCTAGCTGGGCTCCTTCTTGTGTCATTAGCAATAAAGATTCTGCAAACATAATTTAGCTGCTGCTGCTGTTTTTGCTGATGCACAAGACATAGTGGAGTTGGTTCTGTGGGGCTAACATACTGGACACTTGTTTGTCTCAGCAAAGTGAGCAGATTTGACTGGAAAGTGCAGGAAATAGCTATGGTGAGTGAGAAGGGCCCATTCTGACTGTCACTTTTTAAACTATATCTCTCAAGGGAGGTCCCTTACAAATATTTAGCAGCATGTATTCTTATACTCACTTTGCTTCATTGAGAACCATCTCCTTTCTCCATAGTATAAGAGATTAGAGATGACTGTGAATATGATTACTTTATAATGTAAATCTTGAAGCTGTTAATAATACATCTTTTTAAAACTTTCTTCCTAAGTCAGTCAGAGAAGGATTGTTTTTAAAAAGTTGTTATTCCTAAATAGACTTGTATATCTGTGGCTGGCAGTGTTTGTTTACGGTATCAAACATTTCATCACCCTGGTTCTCTATGGAATAGGTCTCCAGTTAGGCCTTTTCAGGTACAGGCTGTTCTCGAGAGGACCAAATGAGACTGTGGTTTATACAGACCTTCCTTCCTCTCCCTTGATATCAAACTGGTGCTGCCCTACACAACAACCTTTACAATACATCTTAAATGCTTGGAAGAATGTACCATTCTTGAAGAAGCACTTTTCTTTCCAACTTGGCATATAGGGAATCTTTTCCAGTAGCAGTGTTGTTTAATGGTTAGCCTAGTCTGGCTGAGTTTTATTCTCAGCTCTGCTAGTGACTATGTGAACTTGGGAAACATAACCTCTTTGCTTCGGTTTTATGCATCCATAAAATTACACAGCTCACAGCAGAGGTGCTGGAACTATTTTTATAGTGGGGGTGCTGAGAGCCATTGAAGCAAACTGTAAACCCTGTTTATAATGACAACCACTTTAAGCCAGGGGGTGTGGCAGCACCCCCAGCACCCCTAGTTCCAGCACCTATGGCTCACAGGGTGGTTGAGCTTCTACATTATTGTCTATAGGCGCTGACTCTGTGGGTGCTCTGGGGCTGAAGCACCCACGGGGAAAAAATGGTGGCTGCTGAACACCCACCAGCAGCCCCACCGATCAGCGCCTCCCCCTCCCTCCCCGCGCTGTTTCGTGGCATGCAGGAGGCTGGGGAGGGGGGAAGGAGTGAGGATGCGGTGCGCTCGGGGGAGGGGATGAGGCGGGGCAGGGGTGGAGCAGGGTGGAGGTGTGGCATTGAGGGAAGGGGTGGAGTGGGGCAGGACCTGGGGCAGAGCCAGGGGTTGAGCACCCCTGGCACAATGAAAAGTCGGCACCTGTGGTCTATAAAGTGCTTTGAAATCATCAAGTGAAATGTGCTACAGGAGGGCAAGGTATTCTTGCTAGCAAAAGCTCTGAGGGAGGTCCCTGCCCACCTAACTTTGCAACTGAATGTTACTGTCTAAGTAGAGATGTGTGGAACGTGGCCACGTTGGTTCATTTGTCTAATTCTGCACGGCGTAGGACTAAACACCACAGTGGTTAAAATGCTAGCAGAGCTGCCCCAAATCTACAGCTTGCACCATTGTTGGCCCCTCTTGGCAATGGTAGGAAGTTTAAAGGAAAAATGGCTAGTGTAGCTTAGGCCCTGGAGTTTCATTTTGAGGAACCCCAAAATTCAAAGCAAAGCACATCTGAAACTGCCATGTTTCACCTGTTTTTCAATAGAAATCTCCCCAGCAGCCTTGGGGAACCAGCCAGTTTACCAAAACAGCCCAGCTTAAGCCAAAATTTTGTGAAATTTTGAGTAAATCTGGGCTGAGTTAGGGGTTTGTAATGAAATCTAAAATAAGAGTATTTGGGTTTTGGTAAAGATGTTTAAGGTCTGGACTATGCTGGGATTTTTGCCACTGGTGTAGCTGCACCAGAGCAAACTCCTAGTATAGACACAATTTATACCAATGTCTAAAATCGCACTGCACACCAGGTCTAAGATCTATCCACTTTTATGAAACAGTAAAAGGAGTGAGCCAAATTACTATGGAAACCAGATTAGTATATCCCCATCCTTCTGGACCAGTGCGCCTGGCATGTTCCTCAGGTGTAGTGCATTGTGTTAGTCATTATCAGAGATTCCACTCGCTGCTCTCCCTATAGGATTAAAAAATGCTTTGCCAGAGAGAAGGTCTTGAGTCACAAATTTATATTTCAGACATTTCAGGGGTGTTTGGATCTGTGGTTTCAGGGCAGTCCATTATTATAGGCAGGGCTGGTAACACCACCTATTATTAATGTTGCCAGGCACTTCCCATTATAAAATTTTTGTTTTCAGGTGCTTATAACTTTGCCAAACTTTAACAGTTTCAGCTGAGTTTTTCCATAATGGGTGTTCACCTCAGGCTGATTTCCCTCCCCTCCCCCCCGCCCCCAATGGGTCATCTATTTCAGAGAACAAGCCCAGGAAAAATACATGCTTCATACACAGAGTAGAAACTTCTTAGATTTTAGTTGCTACATTCCTTGCAAATTCTGGACATGCTCCAGCCTGAGGTTAAGCAGGACTTTCCCTGCAATTGCTGCTCTGGACTATTGCTCATGCTGGGTCCAGGTCTGGGTCAGGGTCCAGGCACCAGAACTGAGAGCAGGGAGACTGTCTCTTGTGCTCTCAGTGACACCTTCCTGGACCCAGGCTTTACAGATTAGGAAGTTGCCTGAGTCGAATGGAGATGGGACAAGAGCTGGCTCATGGTGGGGAGTAAATTGGGATAAGGAACTTGGGGTGAGGGAGATGGAGAGCAGAAACTGGAACAGAGGCTGGTAGGGGGCAGAGGAAAACTGGGACTGGAAGTTATGGTGGATGAATAGCCTGTGATTGGGTGAGCAAGGAGACTAGGACTAGGAGCTGGGAAGAGAAATAGGTTGTGGGGGGAGTGGGAGCCAGTAGGTATTTAGGGGGATGGACCAAGACTGGATGAGGTGCTGAGGGAGACGGGGGGATGAAGTGAAGGATGTGAGAGGGGAGGAGAAACAAATCTGAGGAGCAGCTGGGGTGCAGGTAGAGAACTGGGACTGGCTGGGCAAAGAAACTAGGCCACAGAGCCTGGGAGAGGGCCATTGAGATTGGATGAGGAGCCCAGGAAGGGAGATGAGGCTTTAGAGCCTCTGCTAAATTCTATGACAAGATTCCAAACTGGCAGGGGGAAAAAAGAGCCATAAGGGATGAAAAGGAACTTGAGAAAGCTTTATAATGTGGGGGCAGAACAGAGGCTGTATCAGATC